GATGTATTTAAGACGATTTCCAAGCAACTTTTCCTGCAATTTTTGAAGATTTTTCGGCCCATCAATCGACATTGTTTATTAGCCTAAATTTGTAATGAAAGATACCATCAATACATGAGATTTGTATGAAAGGGCATAAGCGCATCTGAACTAAGTGTTTTTGTTTTGTTTTGTTTTGCTTTTTTGCCTGCTTTTGTTTTGTTTTATTGTTTTGTTGTCACTGTTGGTGTTGTCGTTTGTTTTTGTTTTTCSTTTATTTTACATTCTAGTGCATAATTTGCTAAAAAAGGAATCTTTATTCTTCGTCAATCCTTGCCAAAACTTATGAACTATTGCGTTTTCCATGAAGACATTTCCTTCCAATTCGTGCTTGTGGACAATCATTAATTATTTATTTATCCTTTTAATTGTCTCTCTTACTATTAGCAGCCTGGATTTTCATTCSAAACACATCAGTGTGTTTATTACTTACTTTACTCACTTTTTTAACCCTATTAAAGCTAGGCAAATAATATGTAATACACTATGGGGTGATAGTTGGATTGGCGTTGTGAATCACCTCTGTACGTTGCCTTCATTTTTTGAAATCCTCCAAAACAGTAATTTCTCTTTAYCCGATGACTGAAGGATTAACGTCCAAAACATCACTAAGTTGTTTCACCTATTWTTACGGTGCTAAATTTATTTCTTTGCACAACTGTTTCGTTATAAACCGCACCTACTAGGTTACCGCTAGTAGCCATCAAAACAGTAATAGGTACAGAACTAATGTTTTATCAATTAGGTCTGTATCAGGAAAACGTTGAATGATAATCAGCCCCGCACTCCCCTGAAARTATTCAAAGCCGCCCCCAACTTTGAGCTTGCTGCACCTTAGTACCCAGTATAAAGGTATAATCACGTGATTAGATTCTCTGTATATCATTGGCTAATGACATTATGAATCATTAATGAGTTTGATAAATTATTATTAAAATACTTATATTTCTCCATTACGTTAAGTTTTTTTTTTCACTAGTGCAAATAAGACATTGAAGGTTACTCTATATAGTACGAAGTAAGAAAAAAGCTATTTTACTRACATAATTTACTTTCATATGTAATCAYGACARACAGAATATWACTAGATGGTCGCTTGGAGATACGAATTTTATCTTCTTGTGTTGTCGCTAAGCTMACTCATGAGAGATCTTTTCACCACCTATGTCTTTTATTCTTGAGAGATTTGCGCGTGTGTCACATACCCCATTTTAATTTATTCTAAATATTTCTACAGAAAACAATGAGCAGYRAGAAWATACAATTCGGCATCTTCATAATCTTCTTCTTGGCCAATGTCCATGGAAAGCAATGCAATCCAATGTACACCCAGCCTWACATGAGACTAAACAACAATATTTTCCAGACAGTAATTGCAAGCTCACGTACAGAATGTTCATCCCAGTGTTCTTCGAATTCTTTGTGCCTAAGTACTAACTACCATCAGGGGCACAACAAATGCGAACTTAATAAAGGGAGCCATTTGTCCAATCCTGAAGCTTTACTTCMAGCTGAAGGATATGTTTATACCCAAGCTGMCAAGACACCCTCTAAATGCAGTGCCAAGCTGTGCAGTGAACCAAAAAAGTGTGTACCGAGGGGAAACGATTACGAATGCGTCTCCTCTTGTGAAGGTAATCTTTATATTCAGAAATAAGATGAATTATCTCACCAAAGGTGTAYATCCCTAGTGATGTTTTAAAATTTTGGCCTGATTGCTTGCMCACATTTTTATTGAAAAGATTTTCTTTTTCWCTTAATTTACAGCTTCTGGCTACGGTAGAAAGAGCATCATGACATTTCCACGAAARTCAACATCGGATTACGTTCAATGGGAAAACCCATTYGAGCCACTGGCTGCATTTACGATCTCCTTTTGGGTCCAGATGCAAACGGGTGCAGACTATCAGTCGATATTTTCATATTCATCAGTCAACGTTTCTTCAAACACGATATTGATACAATCAACTTACATGGATATAACAATCATGATCATGGGAGATAAAAGGTGAATTCAAGYAATATGTATCAAATTCATTAATAATTTWTAAGGTAAACACAATGGAAATCATCGACGTGACCGCATCTTTATATGAGCAAGAGATTTGTCTTGATTTGCATACGACTTTAACTTCGATTTTCTCCTAAAAATGATGTTTTATCTTGAAGGTTCTTTTTKCAGAATATGCTTTAGCTTATGTTAGAATTTTATAAGCAATATAAAATATTTGCGTCCGACCTTTATGGGCTCTAAAACTGATCAGTTCAGTTCAGAGCAAAAAAGGAACCTTTAAAGGTGAATTTCAATTTACTGAGACAAAAAAAAAATGATAGAAAAGAAAGACAAACAGATCAATATAGATAAAAACCGTGTTAAAGAATATACCTAAGTATAGTTTAAAACACGATCTCGAGTGTTTTAAACGGCTTCAAAAACTCCAACACTAGTTTGAAACTCAAATCCGCTAAAATTCTTGGGGAAATTGCCGTAAAAAGAAATTTCGAGATAAATGTGGCAAACTGATCATGCGCGAATCACTGTAAAAAAGCACTATTTTCATCTCACATTGAATACGCATAAATTAAAATAGAACCGCTGTTGGCTGTTTACTGAAATCGGTTGACATCCTGCATTGGTCAATGATCAGGTATACAACCTGAGACCTTTAAATGCTAGGGTCATGGACCTTTATATCTGATAAAGGTCGCCCTAGCTTATTAGTATTCTTTATATAAAGAATACAAATAAGGAGTGTTTTATCAGATATTATAAAACTCATTAATATTCATAAGGCAAAACACAATAGAAATCATAGCCCATTAAGAGAGTTGTATATTACATACAGATTTCTTGTTCATTTGCATAAACTTTTACTCTGATTTTCTCAGTCAGATTGAATTTTTTTTCAAAAGTTTCTTTAAAACCTGAGCTAATTTACCTTAACGTTTCATACGTAATATACAATATTCGCGTGCGATCTGTATGAGGTTTTTTTTTCGCTTTCAGCTCGCTGTTTTAAATCCTCATACAGATCGCCCGCTCATATTGTATATATTACTTAAGGTCCATGCATGTGACCAAATAGGCTGATTCTATTGGCCTAATAACTCATTAATTATATGCATGAGTTTTTGAAGCATGGCTTATTTTTATCATAGTGAGCCAGCAGTGA